AAAGTAAATTTAAAATAAAGTTATATTAAATTTAATTCTTTCGAATGTAAACACATGGTAGTAAATGCTTCCAATTTGGATTATCAGGATGTTGTTGATGACAATATGTGACAAATGTAAAAGCATGATCAGTGAAGAAGTTTGCATAATGTCTCAATTTTTTTTATTATTTTGTTTTTATTATGACCATTTCTATCAAAATGCAAATAATTATGTACGGTATCTCTGTAGCCAAATCTCTAAAAATACTCAAATTCAACACGTAAATTTAGAGACATGTGAAGATTCGAAGAACTATAAAAGTAAAAAAAAATATAAGCATTCAGATTTAAATAAATCTTATTAATTGAATTGAATTTAAGTAAAAAAAGTAAAGGGTAAAAATTATGGATTGCAGTGGCCAAGAAAAAACTAGTTTCTTCTTCAAACTCAATCGCCGTAAATCGAATAAAAAGTAACTTCTTCTCTGATCACACGATTTAAATAAGAATAATTTCTTTAAGATGATCTCCTAAGTGACAGAAAGTGAGAGAAATAAAGCTAAAAGAAGGCACAAGCAAGTTTGAAAGTATTCCATATTAAAAGAGAGAGCCGCGTTTCGAGCATATCAAGGAGGGCAAGGAACGTGTGTTCTTAAAAATATAATAAATTATTAAAAATAGTTACTTAAACAAAATGCGATGATGTTTCCCTTAGGGGAATACTCATCAATCGTTTCGTCCATCGGTGTCGTTAGTTAGCAATTAGAAATTATCATGAAGGATAGAGAAATGTAAGAACCAGTAAAAACATTTCCAGAATACAATTATGCTAGATCGAGGGTTCCCGCAGAAAATATACATATAACTGAAATAGAATTTTATTACAGTTGATTTCAAATTAAGTCGGATGTTCTTTGCCGCGCTTTTCTTAATATAAATAGTTCAGACAATATAGCTTTTCAAAATTATTTGCGGGGACTCCATGAAATGTCCATTAAAACTAATGAAATGAAAGAGTATTGTGTTATAGCATTTGTAAGTAATCATTTTATATAGATGCAGAAGGGCTTATTTAGGATTGATAAGAAATTTACGGCGAAACTTCCGCATTAAAGTTAATCTATTCGCGCATGCGGTTTTGCAAAATCTTGTTAGGCGTGCTTACATACGTTGCGTGCGATGGTTCCCTTCTAAAGCGTCTGACGTTATTTAAGTTTTCATTCCAACGCACAGTTTTACCTGTAATTAGACGAGATAGAAAGAGAAAGAGACGGAGAGTGCTAGATTACTTTATGACGGCATTTCTGTGTGGAGAAAATCGTTCTTGCGATAAAAGCCGGTTACCTTTTCAACCGGAAATTATTCAGATCACGACGCGTGTGTATTTCTACAACGACATTTCGCACTTGCTTAGACATACGGTTAGATAACGTTAAAAGATATGCAGTCTGTGTGCGACAGTTTTCTTATCGAGCGGTGAAACAAGTTCGATACAGTACCGCTACTGCTACGAGTATCGACTTTAGCATATGCCTTTTCAACGCGATTATGCAATCGTCGTTGCTGTGATGTTTTCTGTTCGATGTGTAATCATTTCGTTCTTACGTTAAAACTTTATGCTGTTCAGTGCAATTAAAAAATTGACAAAGCTGTAGTAGAGAACGAAACAATTGTAGATACCTATCGCATTATAAAATAAAATACTAACAATTTTTAGTACTATAATATCATAAAATATTAACAGTTTTAGTACCATAATTCCACTAAGCATTTACAAAGCTTATTTACAAACTATCTTCAGTTTATTAATTTTTTTTAGTGAAGAATATATCACAGGCTGTGTGTTACAAATATATATTAAAGGGATTCTGTGATATTTCGTTTTTTAGGGACGTGAATTTAAGGCAATTTAAAAAGATAAGTTTTTTTTCATTACGAGCTGATTAATCGAACACTATACTATTCAATATTTCTATTTTATATGCGTTATTTTGTAGTTGCTTTTTTATATACGTAAGATTTAAATAATTATTTATTTAAGAAATAATATTATGTCATTATTATTATTATATTAGTTATAATTATTATTAAAGCCAGAATATTTATTTTCTTCATGTATTATATATTGTTCAATTTTCTTAATATATTATTTATCTAGACAAAATCGTCGATAATAATCTCCGAAGTAAAAATTATTTTAATAAGTTTTGTAAATAAGCATTTAGCATATCAATGGATATACATATAATTATAATGCGATTGTGATCTATTTAACTTTATATTATAAAAATTGTAAAAATATTCAAGAATAATACTATGACATTGCATATTAAAAAATATGTGAATGAATTAAATATACATATAAATAAAAGTATCATAATTTATAATCTACAAAATTATAAATATTTCAAACAACAAAATACAGATTGTCTTAAATGTTTCTTCTCATTACAAAGTCGATCGATTTAGAATTTTATCAGTAAAACCGACAAACACATGATTACGGAATAATTAAGAGAAAAAATGAGTATTTTGTAAATTAAATTTCAGAAGAACCATTTGACAAGACTATTTTCGATCAATCCACACACACACACACACACACACACAAATGGATTTCATTAAAATCTTCGTTTACAAAAATATGCAATGTTAAAAATTGAAAAGATATAATGAATAATGATTTTACTGGATATTTTTAGAAAAAAAATCGAATTGATGGAAGAAATTATAATTGAAAGGACACACATTTGTGAATCTGGAATACATCGTATATGACATGTCGTTTTACGTGGCTCTTATGTGAGATATAATGAATTAATAGATATGTTATATTAGGGCGAATTTTTTTTCTCTGAATTCTTTTTCTCTATATATATCACCTCAGCAACTACTGTTGCAGGTTCGTTGTGCAAATGCACTCGCTCGAAGAGGCGAATAGTGCGTATTTATTTCTAATTGCAGTTTTACAGATTCGTGGCCGGTTCGCGAGAGAAAGAGAGAGAGAAAGTATGAAAGAACGTGTGAGAATGAAAGAGAGGGTAATATATATATATATATATATATATATATATATATATATATATGCGTGTGTATATATATCGCTGATCCATTTTTCGCTTTTCTAATTATATATTATAAGTCGTTACATCGTGCATACGTCTTTCTCCAGTCTTTTATCTTCGATTTACTCATTCTCATGCTATTAAGCGCCTCGATGATCCTTCCGACACAACTCTCGTTATGGAGCACAACACGGGGCGCATTTATTCCACACATATATATATACACGTATATACACGTAAATTACATAACATACGGGGTATGCCACAACCGTCTCTCGGTCATTTTACTCAGATTATTCTTACAAATTCCTTGGCTACTTTGGGCTGATCTTTCTTGTCGATAAAAATATCAAGTCTATAATTTCCTGAATAATTAACTATTGAAAGTTCTAGTGGATTAATTACATAAAAAATATATTTTTTTCTCTCGGTTTTTCAAGACTTTAATAGAATTTTGTTTGAAATTTGAACACGGTAATATTATAGATTGCGTGTAATAAAATATGATTTTCCTCGACACTTTTACTAAGGATAAATCTCTAAATGAACCAAAGATTCTGCGGTTATAGGATATCCGGTGATTATGGGACCTGTACAAAACGCGTTACTTTTTTTCGTTCAAAGGCCTAACGGGCGAGCTAAAAACAGACACGTTACATATGTATTATTACAAAGCTTTACATCATCTAGTCAACGAATTTATATTTATGAACAGCGAATCGCTATACTTTGAATCATTTCTCAAGCTTGCACTTATATTTCTGGGGCTTCCTATAATCCGTTTAATCCTTAATATTTAAAAGTTCAATATTTAAAATTGTAATTATTTTTAATTAGAATGTTTATTTGTATTCCTTTACTTGTAATAATTATTCTAGGTGATTTTATTCGAAATTAATTGGAAACTAAAATTTAATATTCTCTATCCTCATATTCTTTACTTTAAAAATAATGAAAATAATTTTGAAATCACATTTCAACGTTATTGACTTAATAAATTATCTTTATTATTACTAAAATGGTATAATTAAGTCATAAAACATATTTCTACAGTATAACGAAGGGACAGTAGTTTGAAATCGAAATAAGAAATTCAATTTTAAATGAGAAACTTGTTTACAAATGCTTCCTTAAAAAGTTATTAAAACTTAATTAAAAATTTAGCTTAAATAGCATTATGTTCTTGCCAAATATTTCCATTTCAAACCCTAAATGCAAATACTATTTTGCGTATTTTAATTATATACAAAGGAATGCGATATATATTTTCGTAAATTAATTTATATACCAATTTTTACCCCACAATATGATATATACATTTTACTCAGATTAGTTGTTTTAATCCTAAATTTGTGTTAAAATATAAAAGACTATAAGGAGTATAAAAGATTTCAATTATCAAAAAAGGTACCTGCTAAAACGTTAATATTAATCGATATCGTTGCGGATATACAGTGAACATTTCACAAGTTATAAACCCGTTTTTTAACTATTCCTAGTCCTTTTCTACTCTTCCAATTTTGTACTTCCACGATAAGATTTTATCCTCTTTCCGCGATCGATACAATCTATTCGCTTTCCATTTTATTGCCTCACTGTTTTCGAAAATACATAAGCTGCAATATACGAGCAACACAATCATTATACACGTGTAATTAATATTTCTTAGTTTAATGGTAGAGTTCTTTTCTTGAAAAGATCGAATATCCGAAATTTTATTTTTAGCAAAGTACAATATTTAAGCTTTATTATATTGAATTACTGTATCTCAATTATCTACATATTGATTTTTAAATTAGATATTTAGGGAAAGGAAGATATAGCTGCACTTAAAATAAATTAAATTAGTAAATTTTTCATTGTCAATTCTTCAAGCTAATTTTTCCAAATTAAAGAGCTTATTTTCGAACTGTCTTAGATCAATTCTTATTTAAAAAACATAGATTCTATCAACGAGTTACTGCAATGCACACTATAATAAAGCTGTGGAAAGTTTTGTATTCTATCGAACAATAATTTTTCCACAGCTCTGTAACACATAATCTCTGAAAGTGTGGAGATTTAAGACAGTTTGAAAGAAATAAACTCTCCTACTTAATTTGTTCTATTTTATCTTGAAAAGAAATCTTTCCAAAGAGAAGGCGGATGTACTTTGGGAAAACATCCGTTTTATCGACACACAACTTTTTAGAGAACAACTTATATAGCAGCATGCAACAAACACATTTATTCACACATACACGCACACACGCGCACGTTCGAATTTGCATGCTCCAGTTTCTTCGTGTGTTATTTCGATCTTCATTCGGGTGTTTAGTCATTAAGAGGAAGATACGAGAGAGATCGCGAACATTTACAAGAGCCGCGTATGTTTTTCTATATTACGCTGGCCGCAAAATAGGTCGCTTAGGTCAGTCGAAACGCTCCGCACACGTTTGTCTACTTCCTAATCGATAAGAGAGAGAGAGATGCTTAAGGAATTTAGATAGAAAACGGAAATGTGATTCGATCTAATTCAGTGAGCGAAAAGATTATATGTATCGAGGTGGAAGGTTGCGTTTGAGCTTTCCGGAAGAACCCGATCGACATGAGGTTCGTTGCACCACAATGGAATTTGGCGCAGAACTGAAACCGCAGCGAGATGAAACGCTGAAGTCGATCGCGTTCGCTCCGGCGTTCTCGACCAACATTCTCGATGTTGCGATGATAATATGTACTTTCGACAAAGCGTGATAAGAATCGTTATTATATTCATAATATGAAAAAGGATAAAAGAAATTGAGAAATAAACGAAGCTTTTAATATCCACTCGCTATTCTCTCTTGTCATATATCCCCTTTAAATTTGCCTCCTTTCATCAATCATCACCTTTCAGCTCTTTAAAATGCTAAAATTGTTATTGGAATATCTAATGTATCTTTAGAAAAAATTCTCACATTCTAAAAAGTCAAATATAAGTTTGGAAAATTTGCAGTGAGGCTAACAAGAATGAGAAATCGGTAAGAGACTCGATAAGAAATTGTTCAGCTCTGTAACACATAATCTCTGAAAGTGTGGAGATTTAAGACAGTTTGAAAGAAATAAACTCTCCTACTTAATTTGTTCTATTTTATCTTGAAAAGAAATCTTTCCAAAGAGAAGGCGGATGTACTTTGGGAAAACATCCGTTTTATCGACACACAACTTTTTAGAGAACAACTTATATAGCAGCATGCAACAAACACACTTATTCACACATACACGCACACACGCGCACGTTCGAATTTGCATGCTCCAGTTTCTTCGTGTGTTATTTCGATCTTCATTCGGGTGTTTAGTCATTAAGAGGAAGATACGAGAGAGATCGCGAACATTTACAAGAGCCGCGTATGTTTTTCTATATTACGCTGGCCGCAAAATAGGTCGCTTAGGTCAGTCGAAACGCTCCGCACACGTTTGTCTACTTCCTAATCGATAAGAGAGAGAGAGATGCTTAAGGAATTTAGATAGAAAACGGAAATGTGATTCGATCTAATTCAGTGAGCGAAAAGATTATATGTATCGAGGTGGAAGGTTGCGTTTGAGCTTTCCGGAAGAACCCGATCGACATGAGGTTCGTTGGAATTTGGCGCAGAACTGAAACCGCAGCGAGATGAAACGCTGAAGTCGATCGCGTTCGCTCCGGCGTTCTCGACCAACATTCTCGATGTTGCGATGATAATATGTACTTTCGACAAAGCGTGATAAGAATCGTTATTATATTCATAATATGAAAAAGGATAAAAGAAATTGAGAAATAAACGAAGCTTTTAATATCCACTCGCTATTCTCTCTTGTCATATATCCCCTTTAAATTTGCCTCCTTTCATCAATCATCACCTTTCAGCTCTTTAAAATGCTAAAATTGTTATTGGAATATCTAATGTATCTTTAGAAAAAATTCTCACATTCTAAAAAGTCAAATATAAGTTTGGAAAATTTGCAGTGAGGCTAACAAGAATGAGAAATCGGTAAGAGACTCGATAAGAAATTGTATAGTCTATCCTGCAATCTTGTATTATTGTTGTTTGATTATAGTGTATGTGATAGAAAAATATTGCAAAGTAATTTAACGTTGCATACAATTCTTTGGTGATTTGCATTGCAATGAAACAGATTAATCCTCTTACTGTTGTGAACAAGGAAAGTATTTTTGCACGCGGTTGCATACACTTGTACTCGTAAATAATTCGAACGCGCGTTTTTCATTCTGTCTATCATTAACGTATTACGCTACGCAAGCTACGTCATATTTGCGTGTTATACTCGTAAGACTTTTCCACCTGGCAGGGATTACACAAGTAGGAAACGCTCGCGTTATCCTTGATGGTCGCTTACGTGTTACTTCGCAGTTCCGTCACCCTACATCCTTTTTGCGACCCCAATGTGTCAGATGCGGTTTACTTTCCATCACAAAGAAAGAGATGCAAGAAAGGTATACGCTCCGCGCCATCGAAGAATGCTCCCGCCTCAAATGGTGAAAGTAAAACCGCGCCCGTCGACTAAAACAAAATTGAAAAGCTTTTACCGGAATGTATTGAGCCGTGATAATCCTTTTTCGAACACGGCACCACGCTATTAATAACATATCATGCTCGGCATGACGCAAAAGTAATTAATTGTACGCAAAAACACAAATAAGTAAGTAAAGTAAAATATATAGATATTAAGAAATTTATCTCAGGTATTAAATCTCTTGACAATTTAAATTTGCTAAATAAAATATATCTGATAATATTTGTAGTTTAAGTTCTTGTCTTTCTTCACACACACACAATTCTATATAAATTTTTTGAAGCAAATAATTATTCTTTAAATTGAAGCTGAGCCGAGATATAAAAAAACTTTGCGATCATATACTTAAGCTTATTGGAAGCTATTATTAATTAGGGAAGAACACTTGTTTGTTAAAGACTGAATTCTGTTATTTTTATAAAATTATAAAATACTTCTCGTCTTCTTTCATTACGACATATGTAGATAATATTATTTTTAAGTCTAATAGAGAGAAAAACTTGTCAGTTCGCCATTAAATCAAGAATTTGATAATAACCACAAATGACGTCCTAGACCTTGTACGAAAGTGAAAGTCGAGGTCAAGTTTGACAGGTTGGTTTGGGTCCTTATCGGGAGAGCATGAATGACCAAGCATCAGTGAATCGATAAATACGCCGTTTACTACTTTCTCATAAAACGTCAGCATATCATTAAAAGTTTTAAACGTTCATTATCCCATACATAAAAAATGACAGAATATGACTTTTATATATTATACCTTTCAGGCATTATTTGTTTTTTAATAAATTGTAGCATCTTTATAGGAGTTTAATAGTTTTACTTCCTGTTTTATAACTTCAGCAGTATCTGGATGTAAATACTTGGCGTTAATAAGCTATTTACACATTAATTATCGTGGAATTCTTTTGTTATATTCATCATATAAGTTATATACATACATATATAATTATTTATATAATAAAAATATTGAGCTTTATTATAAACATTTAATAAAAATGTCTTAAACAGTATATTACTAAACAAAATCATTGTATGAATTTATTCTTTCTATTAATTTGCACTAGCCTCTTTTTAATAAAAGCTTCCCAGTCGAATAAGAATAAAACTAATATTGAGATAACAAAAATAATTTTATTATGTCTTTTAAAAAAATTTGTTCTTAGTTGATGAATTGATCTTCAATAAACAAATTAAAATTTACCGATTGTACGAGCTAAAATGATGATTGTTCTCGACGAAAGTTTCGAGAACCATTAAGTTTGAAAAAATGGAGACAGGTGACCACGTAGAAAGGCTCGCGTTTGTCTTGATACACATACTCGATCTGGATCCGTCAGGTAGATACGCGAAAACTGGATGAACCGGATATAACCATTACACAGCGTAACTTTCAAGTGGAGTTCCTGCATGAAAATTTCCGTGGTTCAGGTCAACGGATTCCAGCCTGTGATAAAAAAAAAGATGAGACACAAAACCTATTCCGGTATCATCTAGTCACTCGAAAATCAAATCCTATTGGAAAAGCAAGCGGATATTATATTAAATGATGGAAGTATCGAGAGGAAATGATGGAACTTCAATAACTTTATAATTAACTCAAAAAGCTTCCAGATAGTAGCATGATTAACCTACATTCGCTTCAATTTACATAAATTAAAAGGAAAATTTAAAGGGATCTGAAAAGAGTTAGTTAATTTATTGTCAGTAAAAAGGTAATCGATCTTTTCTTTTAATCTCTTTCTTATATTTCTTTTCCTTTATTTCTGATATCCATTTTATATTATTAAAAAATTATTACTCAAATGCAATTTTTTTAAATGCAGATAATTAATTTTTCTTACATAAAATTTAATACAAAATTTTAAATTCAAAAAGTGAAAAAGAAATTAAATTTAAAGATTTAAAAAATTCTAAAATATACAATATATGTTTAATACATATATAAATTCCAGAACAAATCATTGTCTTCAAAAATAAAAGATATAGATGCAAGTTTACTTAAATCTTTTTTTTAAAGGATTAAGTATAGCAGAGATATCGCGCGTCTTATTTTACGTTACAAGTAGAGGGACGAGATGATACATTTCTTAAATTTTATAGAATTATGGGAAAAAGTGAAAAAAGTTCCGTGACATTGAAAAGCCGATTCTGGACCGAGGCGGTCAGAAATCCGAATGTGAAAGTAAGAGACTCCCTACAACTCTCTCCTCTCACAGTTGTTCATATTTACCGTATACATACCATACTTTATCACACGGATGGACTGCCTACATCAACGTGATCGAATCGACAACGGGCGGTTGAGAACTTCTCGCGGAAACAATTAAAAGAACTTTCCTCTTTGGCCATGGCCTTAATAAATATTGCATTTTGACACTTGGACGCGCAAGAAAACGGCTGTAATGAACAAACAATAATAGCCTATCTGTCAGAACAAATTTCACCGTCGGAAGTTTATTTTGAGAGCGGACAACCCGTGTTAATTATTCTCATTATTTCGCAAACACTCTGCTTCTCTCGTGGAATTTATTGCCACGTTGGTGTTAATTTTATTATTTCTAGACCAATAATTTCAAACGCGTTAAATATTGGCGATAGCCGAAGCAAGTTGAAAAAAAAGTGAAATAAACCGTGCACGAATCATTGTAAAAGTTTTGACAGAGAAATGGTACAATTTTATAGATTATAGTCGTACTTCCTCTTGAATGATGCAACGCAAAGTATGTTACTCTCCGTACAGCAGGTTGACTACGCAACATTCGCGCTATATAATCTCTACGGTATTACATCTAGGAATCATACATCGTATATTGATCGAGGTAAATCGACATTTCACGGAACACTTATTTTTCTGTTCTTGAAATTTTTGAATAGTATTCATAGACGATTTAGTAGTATACACTACAATTCCCTGGAGCATTATGTATATTAAAGTATACTCGTAATTTTAAAGTAATGATTAAATTTGACAAATCTTATGTTCTCAAATGAAATATCTAATAAGTAAACCGTAATAATTATATAATCAAAATTATAATAAACGGTAATTATATTTACATATTTTATTGTATAATAGGTATATCAATTATCTTGATTTTTATTGCCACATTAAGAATTTATATTATTAAACTGCAGAAGTTAATAAATTTATAAATACATACACGTTGCATATTATAAAAAATTAAAATGTAACAAAAATTTATATTTACCAACTCGTAAAATGTGTGTTTTGCTTTCTTTCAATGACACAGTTACAATATGTATAATATAATAATTAATTTTTAAGATATGGTGACAGGGCTATGCATGGGCTAAATGGAAACCAGTTCTTCGTATAATAATTATCATTTTTTTATGCCAGAGAAAGTATGGATAAATAAAAGAAGCGAATTCATTATAGATGAGTTCATAGTTTTTTTCCACTTATTTGTAAATTTTAATGTAACTATAAAATTGTAATAAATATTTGGAACAAAACGCACGGAATAAAATAGAATATAATATTCTTTCTGTGTCTTTACTTAACATAAGACTGACTAAAAAAAGCATTATATATATCTTTGACCTATAAGCGTATACGTTTAATTTGTAAATTACAATCTAACAAAGTAGAAAATTGAATATGTATACGTTTACTATTGAATTTGAAAAACATTTATTTGTATTCATACGTAAGAGAGAAAGTAGTTTCAATTGAACATATATATGAGATAAAACCAATGACTTTGATTCGTGAGAAAACCCAAGGAAGGAAAAGGCGAACTCCCGATTGATTCTAAAGGTCGTTCGCGCAACAATGGATTTGCCTCGCCAGTTCCGTGTGTAATCGATTGCGGCTGCACCCATTCTAGTAAAAGTTAAAACTCTGATGTGTTATATCTATACGATCACGATAGGCGTTGTTCGCGAATTTGTGCGCGCATCTGAAAGTAGGCTACGCGACGAATTCAGAGAGACTTCGACCTAGAAAACGCCTAATTTGTATGCATTGCGACTCGAGTTACATAGTAAGTGGGTAAGGGTAAGTGGAAGTTATTATCGTAAATGCAAGAGATTGTACAATGTTTCCATATGAAAAAAAATTTTACTGAAAAAATGGTATAGCACTCGTATATTTGTAGATTCCATTTGGATATTGGAAAGATGAGAGATAGAGAGAAAGAGAAAGAAAGAAAGAGAGAGAGAGAGAGAGAGAGAAAGAGAGAAAGACAGAGAGCAGAATTTTATATTTCTTAAAGCGTGAAAGCTAATAGAAATGTAAT